AAACCCTAAGCCCGGCAGAATACGACCACGACCACCCAGACAACTTCGACGGCGGTCTGGCCCTGAGGGGCTTTTTTTGGTTTTGTCGATGGTGATTTGTTGTTTGTTGTTTTTTTGTTGTTCTAGGTGTTAGGCTTAGGGTTTAGGGTTTAGGGTTTAGGGTTTAGGGTTTAGGGTTTAGGGTTTAGGGTTTAGGGTTTAGTTTGTTGCTTTGTTGTTTAAGGGCGGGACTCCCAGTTTTGGGTGTTAGAGTTTTGGGGTTTGAAGGCGCTGAGTTTTTCTGCAGTGAACCCACCACTCTTTGTTGGTCTTGCGCTTGGGCAGCGAAGCTCAAGGCAGCCACAGCCTGCTTTTCAGGCTAGTTCCCTAAAGACCCAAGCACCTAATAATCAGATACTCTCCCAAATAGTAACTCACAAGGTCTGCTGTCCAGCCTGAACCCTATTCTGCTAAGTACCTAATTATTGGGTCCTTTGGCCCTTGGGGTTTTGTCCGTTGTTCCTCGGTTTCGGCTTTTTGGGCCCTTCGGCTTCAGGGCTACGGCTTCGGTTTTAGGGTTTAGGGGTTTAAGGCTCTGTGGTTTCAGGGTTCAAACATGAGCTTCTTGGGGTGAGTATGGCATGATTTGGAGGTATGAAAGTGTTTGCAGCTGTAGTTTAACACAACTCGGGGGGGATGGGGGGTGGAAAGGATACCTGAGTTGCTACCATCTCCTACTTTTGCATAGGGACGTAGTAAGCTGCGGTGATAGCTGAAGACTCCCGAGATCGGCCTGATACTCCTGAACCCTAAGCCCTAAACCCTAAACCCTAAACCCTAAGATACTCTCGCTTGCACATATATGAGTTTCGCAGAAGTTCCGGGGCGCGAGTCTCAACAGTCGATCTGGGGACCTCGGGGTTCTCATACGCCTCTTGGTCTGACCTTCATAGTTTAGGGTTTAGGGTTTTAAAGGTTAAGGGTTTATAGTTTAGAGTTTTTAGGGTTAAGGGTTTAGGGCTTTAGGGTTTTAGGGTTTAGGCTTTAGGCTTTAGGGTTTAGGGCTTGGCTTGGACTAGAGCTCTAAACCCGCGGCCTGATCCCGCAAACCCTGAGCACTAAAGCCCGGAACCCTAAAACCCGAAACCTGCCGAGACGATGACCACGGCGACAATCACCACGAGTACCGCTCTCGGTACAGATTTCTTGCGCAAAGGAGTTTTAAGGATCAGTTGCTGTCGTACTTGAGATCAAGTTATATGGTCAATAGTTACTTCTATTTCTCAGGCTACAAGTACCACGTGCTCGTATACTCTCCCAAATACGAACCTACATATCAACTATTCCAGTAGCCAATCACTGGGCCCTTCGGACCCGTTTGGGTAGTTTGAGCTCAATAGTTCGCAGGCCTAGTGACTGAATACATAAGTACCCGCGGACCTCGAATGACAGCTCTTGGAGTATGCTGGTCAGACTTATCGTTTCATCTAATACCGGAGCCTGTGGATGAGTAAAAGCTCCGAGTCTAATGCTTCGGACTTCTACATTATATCTTAGCAAAGCCTAAACCCTAAACACGATCGAACCCTAAAACCTAAACCCCAAAGCCGAAACCCTAAATCATATCAAACCCTAAACACAAAAGCGTGAACTTGGGGCTCCAAAGGAGTTGAGGTGCCCGAAACCTTCAAATCCTAAACTTACATCGAAAGCCTTAGGATTTCCTGAGCAGAAAATTGTATTCTAGCATAAAGCTCTCCCCTACCCGCCTTTGAATTAGTTAGGCCTTTATACAAAAAGACAGCTCTACTACTCTTCTTCACCCAAGCACATCCTTTGAAAGTTGAAAATTTCGTTCGAAACACTCCCGTCAAGCTTCATCATCCTAAACCCTAAACCCTAAACCCTAAACCCTAAACCCTAGCCTCATCATCCCACTCAGATGTTTGCTGCAGGTGAAGGCCTCACCAGTGGCGCGCCGCTTGGAAAGAACGGAACAGAACAGAGCAGAGCAGCGTTTAGCGGTTTAGGGTTTATAGGGTTTAGGGTTTAGGGTTTAGGGTTTAGGTTTAGCGACCATGCTTGACACAGTTGGAGCAATTATGGAAGGACCCCCCTAAACCCTAAGCCCCAAACCGGCGGGATCCGCTTCATGTGTTTACATGAGCTTCCAGCCCCCCCCACCCAATCAAATTCTAAACCGCGAAGCCTTAAGCTTGTCCGATGGCGAGCTGCACCCTGCATTGAGATCCAAGTTGCTGCATAGCTTAAGAAGTAGTCCGAAACCCGAAGTACAAAACTCCATACTTTTAGCCCGGGAAACTGGCATAGCCGTAGCCCAGCAGCAAACACTAGTCACTAGCACCGGCCTGTCCTGCTAAGGAACACTGAGATGTCTGGCTGCTCCTTTGCTGTCATGGGTTAGGCGGTTTAGGGTTTAGGGTTTAGGGTTTAGGGTTTAGGGTTTAGGGATAGACAGGGTCGCGAGCGAAGGACTCAAGGTTTTGGGAAGAGGCGTCGGGGCTAGAACTCAGGGTTCTCAGTAGACGAGTGGGTAACCTAACGTGATCGCGTTCGGGTTGATGGACCCCATAAACACAATTCAGAGGTCAACCCTTTGAAATAAGCCCTAGACTAAACCCTCAACCCTAAACTACACACACAAGGGAGCTAAGTTTCGAGTTGGCCTTTGCTGTGTCTTCCGATAACAGGCAATGCGGCAACAGCCAGCTTCTTGGGAGTTTCAGTTTCAAATGACCGGCTGGGTGTAGGAACTCTCAGAGGGTTTTAGGGAGTTTTCGACGAGGACCTTAATATACTAGCCGTCTCCAGCAAGCGTGGGAGGGAATTCCACACCACTTAGCGCTTGCTGGAATGGCTTTAGCTTGGTCTTAATCCTATCCTCAGCAAGATCATCCCTCTGAGGTGACGGGGAGGTCCTATTAAACCCTAAACCCCGAAACCCTAAACCCCTAAACCCTGAGAGTTTTAACCATAGTCTGCATCAGATCTTTGAAAAGCCGTACGCCCTAAGACGTCCCCATACTTGGAGGTTCAAGGGTAGTTATAAGTGGAGTTATAAGTAAGGTAACTATAGCTATACCCCATATTAAGGGACCTATAGCCCTGCTTATAACTACCCATGAACCTCCCAGTAGGCTCCATTGTAGTTTCTTTTTGGGATTACGTGATAGGATCCTAAATATAAACCACATAAAGGAACTATAGTGGAGCCTGTAGTCACGTCCTAGACCCCAAACCCGTAAACTCTGAACCCTCTCTAAACCTCTAAAAATAAACCTTCCTCTGAACCTCTAAACTCTGAGCCCTTTCTAAACCTCTGAACTCTAAACCCTCAGCCCTCAACTCTGAACCCTCTCTAAACCTCTAAGCTCTAAACCCTCAACCCTAAACTCTGAACCTTTCCTCTACCCTAAACTCGAATTCCTCTACCCTAAACGGTGATGGAGGCCCCGAGTCGCAGGGTTTCGGAGTCAAGGAAAACCTACCCGGGGATGCATATATGGGAGTTTCCGAAAATTAGGGGTACCTTATTTTGGGGTTCTTATAATAAGGATCCTACTATTCAGGGTACTATATTAGGGTCCCCTATTTTCGGAAACCCATATATATATATATATATATGTATACAGATACACACACACACACACACGTGTATAGTTTATATGTATTGCACCCGAAAGCGACAGCAGCTCAGGCATCAACATTTTCCTGCCGCTTTGGTCTTTGGTGGCCTCCTTGGGCTTGTTGTCAGCCTGAGGAACGTAGCCCTGCTGGGTCCAGACCCAAACTCCTCTGTTCGATAACAGGGTTCAGGGTTTTTGAACCCGAAACCCTAAACCCTAAACCCTGAAAAGGATTCAAGTATATAGGGTATGTAGCAGGTGTATGAGGATGCCAAGGTTCATGGCCCCTACTACCCTAAACCCTAAACCCCAAACCTTTAGATTACGGCTTCGGGTTTAGGGTTCAGGTTGCCATGGCAACATTTTCCGAGCAGACCACAGCGCTCCCATGGCCCCGCCTTTGAGCAAAAGCGGCTCCCTCAACCCTAAAACTGGGTTCGGAGGGTTTAGGGTTTAGGGTTTGGGGTTTAGGGTTTAGGGTTTGGGGGTTTCGGGGTTCGGGGTTTAGAGTTTAGGGTTTGGGGTTTAGGGTTTAGGGTTTATATAGGGGATCTTGTTAAAGATACCAAGATATTAACGTAGTCATTACTTGGTGCCTGGTCATAGTTGTACATACCATACTTTACCACCAAGCTTGCCCCAAACCAGATTCTACTCCTTGCGGGCCGTATTTTAGGTTGAGAAACCATAGTCGGGATACTTGCAAATCAAATTTGTAGTAGGGTTCGGATATCCTCAGTAGGATCAATTTAGTCATAATAATAGTAATAATAACAATAATAACAATAATAATACTAATAATAATAATACTAATAATCATCATAATAATAATCATAATAGTAATAATAACAATAATAACAATAATAATACTAATAATAATAATACTAATAATCATAATAATAATAATAGTAATAATAGCAATAATAACAATAATAATACTAGTAATAATAATACTAATAATCATAATAGTAATAATAACAATAATAATAATAAGGTCCCTTGACAAGAACACAGAGACTCCCCGAGCCCTAGGAGCACCACAGCCAATAAAGCTGACACATTACTTCGCTGACGTCTAAAGCAAGATTAGGGTTTGGGGTTTAGGGTTTAGGGTTTAGGGTCTAGGGTTTAGGGTTTTGGATCGGACCCGTGGGTAGGTCCTGCAAAGGATTTTTGGCAAAGACAGACTCCGACTCACGCCTGCCAAGCAGGCGCCGTCAGTACCAGTCATTACTGGCCGGTTGTGGGCCTATTGAGTTCGAGCACAAAGGGCTCTACACCCTGCAAAGTAGGACATGAGCCTAGAAACCAGCCCTAAACCCTAAACCCTTAACAGAAGCCCTAAACCCTATGCCGTAAACCCTAAACCCAAACCTTAAATGCCCTACATCTTAGAGCTTGAAGCTCAAAGCCCAAACCCTAAACCCTTACTCCGCTGTCCTAAACCCTAAGGGTTTAGGGTTTAGGGTTTAGGAACATTAAGCAGAAGCAGGCGATTGCATCCCCAGACCAAGCCCGAAACCCTAATATAGGGGCCTTAGGAGCTATAATAATTACCCATACTTGTTTTTTAATGTTTAGTTTATTATTTGTTTTTTGTTTGTTTGTTTGGGGGGGGGTCCTTCTTATATGTATAGTATAACTCTCCCCAAACCCTAGTCTAGTCATTAAGGCCCCTACATTACCCCTCCTGGCCTGTGAAAAAGGGTTTCCGATAAGGTTCCCTTCAAGAGCTCCTTATTCCGGGTCTTTTGAAGAGTTCCTCTAAGGATTCTGCTAGGGGCTCTGTCAGGGGCGCAAGTGTTACGGTTATAGTGATCCCCTTCATGGTAATAACAGGGGTTGAAGTGATATTCAAGATTTTTGAAGCATGTAAGGCGTGAAAAGTTCGGATGAGTGGGCACCCACATGAGGGCTGGTTGGCGACAGGCTACTATAGAGGTCTCATGAAGTAGCAGAGCTGCAATCATATTTGCTAATGGCAGGATAGTGTTCTTTTCATACTCCCTAGCCTTAGTAATTTATCATAGACTAAACAGGCTTGTTTTGATTTTGCTTTTGTACAGCCTGTGTCCAAGCTTCGTGACGCTCGGATGGGTTGCTTGATCAAAGAAGGGTCCGAAATCAGGGTTAGTAAACTGAACGGGAGCCCTTGAACATACAAAACTTCGATGTTGGCTCTTCAGGCCAATACCCTGCACCCTAAGGCGTGAACATGGGCTCGAACCGACCAGCAATGGCATCGCTCATTTAGTTTTAAAGGCTGCTAGCCTCGCCAATGGCGCGCTGTCAGGCAGTCAGAAGCCGTGAGGAGCCCGTAGCAGGGCTTAGGGATTAAGGAATGCGGTGAAGACAGCATGGTACAGGGTGCGGCACGCAAGCTTAGCTCTTCAAACATAGAGTAATCAATGTCTTTTGCTACGGTTTAGGGTTTATATATGCTACTACCCAGAAACCGATAATAAGTTCGAGACATAATCACCGGATGTGAAGACTTGCAAAGGACGTGTTGTGTGGCCCTTAAGTTCCAAGAAATCGTAGGATTTGGGGTTTAGGGCGAAACGCCATGGTTTCAAGCTCACCGCTCTTGCTGGCTTCGTTAGTCATCTGCCCCCATTTCCCTCGATCCGTTGTAATACAGGGTCTCAGCAGCCTAGCTGCGCCGTGGGCACAGGCTTTGGGAGTTTGGGCTTATCGGATTTTCTGGATTTAGGAAGGTGTAAGTGTTCGGACATTTATAATAATTGGGGCCTTAATTATTAGAATTGTGTTTGGGGTATGATATACAGCTACTATCATAAGGACCCCCCAAACCCGATTCCAATCATTAAGGCCCCTACATTACAGTGATTTTTGGCAGAGTTCGGCATTAGCGCCAGTAAGGTTAAGGTCTAAACCCTGAGCCCTAAACCCTATACCCTAAACTCCAAACCCCAAACCCTAAACCCTAAACCCTAAACCCTATACCCTAGTGTACTCGTCGTTTGTTCATGTCTCTGGGTGTTGACCCTATACCCGTTCCTTATAATAATTACGGCCTTCAAAATGACCTATACTATTTTGGGAGTTCCTTATAATAATAACTACAGTATAATAGACATAGACCCGAGAACCTCATTCTAATAATAATTACAGTGTAGTAGACCCCAGAACCTCATTCTGATTTCTAAGGTTTCTACAGTATGTAGGTAGGATAGCCTCATTTGGGGTAATTACCTATAGCTCCTCTGCTTTTTAAAACCTACTTATTAAGCCCCGTGACCCTTTCAGTAAAGAGACCTGGTATAGTTAAACCCCACTTAGCCGAAGCCCGTTCCCACGGAACTAGCTGACCCTTCTGAGCGCGCGCCGTGCTCGCTTGCGGGAGTGAGCACGAGATGCGCCCTCGACTTCCATTCGTGGATGTCACTCTTATTGCTTGGATTGTCCCGAAGTCCTGCAGTAGAGACGAACGTCCTCCTCAAATAGCACCAAGCCTAACCGATCTCAAATTCCTGAGCCCATGACCTTCCCGGCCCTAAACCCTAAACCCTAAACCCTAAACCTTAAACCCTGAGCCCTAAACCTGAAATAATCGTAAAGTCCGGCTGAGGTGGGCTTGCCGGCTTCTAGGGTGACACCCTTTAGCGTTTAGGGGTTAGGGTCCAGATCCCTAAAGTTTGGCAGCCTCTTAATAGATGGGGCTTGACACAGTTCGAGTCTTGTGCCCTCGGGCCCCGCATTAGGATCTAGTACCATGTACACCAAAACCGTATCCTAATCGTTTAGGTTTGTGCCAAGTCCCCGATGCGGAAAACGCTAACATAGTTGTCTTAATAATTACCTATACTGTTTTGGGGGTTCCTTTTTATATGTTTAGTATAACGGGCCCCGAAACCCGATTCTAATTTTTAAGGCCTCTACATTAATCACCTTGAGAGGCTTCGCTAGGGTTAAGGGTTTAGGACCCCTCAAACCGGTCCATGTACCTAAATACCTTGGCCTTAAAGTACCTGTATAGTCTTAGAGAGTACTTCCAAGCCAAAGTATATACTTTTTGGGCACATGGACCCTAAACCCAAACCTTCGACCGTTGATGCTAGCTCAACATACCCAGAGAGTTCCCTGCCCGCCCCAAGTAAGGAATATACCCTAAACCCTAAACCCAAAACCCAAAACCCTAAACCCTAAACCTTAAGTCAGGCGATCGAGCCCCTAGGCTACCAAGGTATAATCTAGGGGACCGAGGATGGGGCCTCCTTAAACCCTCAAACCTAAAGCCTCAAGGGCCTAGGTCCTAGGTTAGAAGTGATACATAGAGGCCTGCATAATTACCCGTACTAGTTCGGGGGGTTCCTGATGATAACTATTGCATAATGCGCCCCAAAGCCTTATCCTAATCATTAACGCCCCCTACACTACTTGTATTGCTTATTCAAGGGTTAGCAGGATCTTTGACCAGCTGTAGACTCCCTACCTGGAGCCCCCACACACAACACAAAAACATATTTAGGGTTTAGGGTTTGGGGTTTGGGGTTTTGGGTGTAGGTTTAGGGTTTTGGGTTTTGGGTGTAGGGTTTAGGTTTTAGAGACCTCGTGGCAAGTCACTATTTCCAGACATGTGCTTTCAGGGTCTTCCAGAACAATCCAGGTTTTCTCCGTGGCCGCCTCAGCGTCTTGTGACGATCCGTCCGCGATGCATATAGAAAACGTGTTAGGTTTAGGGTGTAGGGTTTAGGGTTTAGGGTGGTTCACCTAGGTTCCCATTAGTATTGAGGGGACACCGGGAGAATAGTCTCTTTCTTGGTTAGTATGTAGGACCCTAGAATGACAGAACAAGGTAATCGACAACAGCAGCTAGATGGGTGTTCAAGGGTTCAGGATCGACTTGTAAGGCGCGTATCGTAACCCTTAAAGTAACCCTCAACCCTAAACTAAACCCTAAACCCTCAACCCTAAACCCTAAACCCTAAAACCTAGCCTCAGCAAGCCTAAAGTCTCAAGCTTTGGGGTTTTCCGATGTATAGCCCACCTCCAGTGAGTCCTCTGACGTGCTGCTGACCACGATACCCCACTACGCCAAAAGCTTTAGACTCTAGATCCCACCTGCGCATACCAAAAGCCATTCTTTCAGGTGATATACCCTGCGATTCT